GATGGGATTCAAACCCGGTTCACCTCATTCTCCGAGCCACCACGACTCAAGGGGAAATATTTATCAGCAGCGCCTTTCTGATTGTTGTTTAACAATTATTTTTAACCAAGTGAAAAGTGGGACAAATCTGAGTCATTGCTTTTTACCACCCGTGACAGCTCTATGCTTATGGCTGTTATAACTGTAATGAGTTTCGTTAAAGTTATTTATTAGTTATTGGCCTGAACTTATGTTATGAAGAATTACATTGCACTATAGTGTTTATTTCTCATAAGATACATCAGTCATCAAAAATCGGTGGAAGAAATTGTTATCCTTGAGATATGAATTATCCGTTTTATTTTACCACTTAAGGATAGTAAATATCAGAGTGCAAATCTAAAAGCAACAGAGTTAATATTATCTAGAATAAATGCAAAAACACCCCTAAATCTATGCTAATAAATTAATTTGGTTTAATGTGTCTTTGAGCTATCTTCAAGAAAGTTTAAAATTTTTTAATTCAATTAGAGTCAGGAAATTGATGTTCTTTCAAGCATTGGCTGCCCACCTTTTAGCTTTCCTATGTATGAACTAGTTTTGCTCAGTGTATTTAAATGCCATCTGTGCAAAATATAAAAAAGTCCTGATGTATGACTTTTCCTCGCTTTGAGAAGAAAAAAAAAATCAGAAAATCGTCAATCCTAATAAAATTACTGATTTAAAAAACAAACTTGTCAACAGCATTTAAATGGGATAGAAATTTTTAAAAAAAGCTAATTATTTTAAAGAAAGGAATTAATTCAATCAAATTCTTAGCGATGACTTTAACGAACTAACTGATGTGTGTGTTCTATTTTTCGAAAGGGACATGGAAGAAAAATTAAAAATCTATACTAGCTAGAGTTTATTGTTTAAAAATTTTTTTGTTTAAATCGCAACTTACCTTATTTGTAGAACATAGAAAAAACTTTTAGACATTTCGTTGCATATATGATACTGTGGCTTGAGTGTGTGAGGATATCGACAATGTACCCCTAGATAGAATCGATTTTGCCTATCTTAAATACTAGTGAATTGATGTTTAATAATCATAATAGTATATACACCATAATTTTTATCAGAGAAAGAATTCCATGAACGGATACCACTATTTGCGAAAGACCGAGAGATCTGTATTAAGTTCACGGTTGTGTGTGGTCACTCCTGTGAGTGCAGGATTCTGTTGTGTGAAATTGAGACTGAGAAGCAACAGTGCGAAGAGGACAATGATGCAGTCACAAATAGCAAGTCAATGTGAACCATTCATCGAAGTAGGCGTTACTTTCGATGTAAGCGAGATCATATCACGTCCGGGTCATCATTGTGGGGAAAGGAGTTTTCGACAATGTCAACCTTCATCTGTCTATCGAAGGGCACCCCGAAATAGAATTTGATTACGTTTTTTAAAAGCCCTTAAATGTGCTTTTTTTTTAGTCTGAGTTTGTTAAAAGTGCTTAATTTTCTATCTTTTAAAAAGAGATTGATTTTCTTTGCCGCATCGACTGTCGTTCTGAATTACGAAAAAATGAATGATTTTTACAATTTCCTCTGCAATATTTATCAGAAACTTGTTATTTTATCATGATTATGTAAAGTTTTTGAAATTTTTCTAAAATTTTATGCTTATAAATTAAGAACTTTAAGCGATAGAAATTTTTTTTTTATTACTGCACGGATCCTAATGATTTTTTTTTTTTGGATAGTGATTAAAAATATTTTTTGGATGCTTAAAAAGTGCTTATTTTTTTATTTAAAAAAATCCGGCTTCGCACCCTGGAATAGAGTTAGCATGTTTTATTGACTTGACAATCGTAGTAGTTGTTACGCCACAAGTGCAATGTATTAGTCAAAACACTCCATAATTGAAATCGTATGAAAGAATTAGTAGAATGATTTTAAGAGCACAGTTGAAAATATTTATACAGACTTATGTTATCGATCGGAAAAAAATGTCCGTTTTATCCCTTTCGATAGGAATGCTGCTACGAAAGAGATCGAAAACGATGATGAGTGAGACTAGACCAGGAATGACAACAAATATACAGGGCCGGCTTATGCATGTCGCGGCCCCTAGGCAATGCTCGTCTCGGGCCCCCTCCCCTACCGTCTTCTAACTTCCTAATATATTTTTTCGCTAACACAACACTTTATTCATAATTACGCTGTTTTTTACTACATAGGTATATTATCACATTATTCAATAAAAATATTGAATCAAACGAAAAGAATATAAGTAATTAATATATGCATTTAAAAAAAATCATACAATAAGCTTAAATATTAACTCTTCTAACTTTTTTTGTTACAAAATCGTTCAAGACATCCTGAAAGTTAACCTTTTCCAATACATCATTTTCAATTGCCATTAAGGCCAATGAATTTAAACGGTTTTGAGACATAGTTGAACGAAGACAGTTTTTAATTAATTTCAATTCTCGGTGGCTAGTTCTTCCCCTTTGTGGTTCTGTATGAGAAGCAATTTAAGGAAACGTTCAGCCGAAGTGAAAATTCAACGATTACATTAAAAATGTTGTCTATGACACAATACAACGTATGTATTTAGCGGATCGGGGAATTCTCCAGTCATACGACGAACGAACCAGTACTGCCAACCTTATTTTTAGCTTGACCATAGAATATACATACCTATGGTAGGTACCAGAACAGTAAGTGTGCATTCACAACGTAGAATTTTGCGCGTTTTTCAAGCGTGTTGTGTTAAAAAAGCTGCACTTGCTGTATAGTCATCTGATTAGTCGGCGTTAAAATTACCGCGATAAAATTGCTTGCGATTATATTACTGCGTTATATATGAACTAACTACCATAATATTAATATCTAATTTGGAATGCGTTCAGAAATGTACCAAAATAGCGTCGATGTAATGTACACAGCAAGACAATCGTCATTGAAATTGCGAATTAAATTTTTACTGTTTAAGAAACATTGTCAATTTTTTTATCTGTAGCACAGGGCCCCTAGGCAGTTGCCTACAGTGCCTAATGGATGAAACGGCCCTGCAAATATACCTTAAGTGCAACAGGTAAAGCCTTCTTATTTGGGTAAGTTTGACTATTTTTTCTTTCATTGTGTAGGATTGCTATAGTTGTTTTCTGAATTATCTCTTTATGACTATAGTTTAAACATAACAGTAGATGATTTTGTGTGTACTGAGAGCAATACTTTTTCATTTGCTTATTAGTTAGTGTACTGTATTATTATATTTTATTTAGAAAATACCCTTTAATTTGGCAAAATGTGTCATATTTGGGCATCAAATAACAGCTTTTATGCCGAATGAAATTAATGATAGTGTTAAATTAATGAAGGCTTTATTAGCTGTTGATCCTTCAAGTGAACAAAACAATATGTTCTTAGCCTGGTAGCAGAAACCCTTCGGAACCGCAGCGGGTGTTTTTTTTTAAAGTTGTAAAAACAAGTTTTTGTTATGTACTCTGGTACAATTTTATTCACACAAGGTGAAAACATACTTAAAATTTTAAAAAAGGAAGGGAGAAAAAAGTTCTACGTTTTTTTTACCTAAATTTTAAAACGCTACTCCTCTGCTAGTTTCGAATATGAAATAATCTAATTTGGTATTCTGATTTTATCTTATATTAAAATAATCTGATTTGATACTTAAGTTTAACCATGGATTTATTTCAATATTTTAAAAAATATTGTATGAGTTTCAAACAAAATTTTAAAAAGTGTGAATTTTTGTGCTGATTTTTTTTTACTATCCAATGTTCACAAGTGCAAATTTCGCCATAAGAGTTTCAACCCTAAATAAGGAAACCCTAAAACATATTATTTTCGGAACTCTTTGGTTCCCAGTACCACACCGAAGTCAAGCATCACTGGTGGTCAGTGTGCAGGTTGACGATCACTTTGATCATCCTTCGTCGGGACCGAGATTGCGCGGTATCGGTCCTCGTTAAACTGTTCAACCGTAAACTGCTCGACTTCGCGAATAGGTCGTCGGACTACCAAAGCAGGAGAGCCATCCCCTCCGCAGAGGATAAAAATTGTGATGGCACGTCTTCGGATCATGCTCAGGGATGTTTCTTAGACCGTCGCCAATAGCCCCAAAGGGCAGACATAACCAACAACGACATTCGGAACTCATTTTGTTCTTAAAAGATATTGTCCACCATCGAACCCTAACATATTTTTCAGTCTGTCGCTTAAAAAAATCACTCATGTTATTAAACAGTTTCATAAATCTTTTCTATCAGTCCTCTTTCAAAAGTCATCATACTTTAGTGTGAAATATAAGTCTCACAAGGTCTTAATTTTGCTCTTTACAAAATAATTTGAAAGGGCATTCACATTTAATAGAATTTAAACGTAACTTTATAAATTTAATATTTTATTTAGAACATTTTTTTCTCTCCATCAGGTTTTCCCTGTGCATAACAGAATGCTCAAAAAACGTTTTCAGTTCTCATCTTGGGGAAGAAAAAAAAAACCTTTGCATCCCCCTACCTCTCTTTTACGTTAAATATTTTTACTTTTAATCCTTGCAACATTTAAGATTGTACTTATTGAAAAAAAAAGTAATTGTTATAACTTGAAAACAATTTTTGCTTCATTTTAGAGGGGTTTTATGATTAAATAACGGACTGGAGTTATTTTAACCTCCCCCCCCCAGCTCAAGAAACGACAAATTAAGTTAAAACTTGCCTTTTTTGACAATTGAATTCTGGGGCATGGAGTCTAGGCAATGCCAACAAAATTGACTATTTTAACCAAATTTGATTAAGCTTAAAAAAAATAACCTTGATAAGTCCTTGAAAATGTCTTATTTAAATATAGATTGGGAACCCTATTTCTGCCTAAACACATTAATTTTGTTCATACCGACAGACCATATTGCCAAAAACGTTTAAGTAATAAAAACATGTTTTTTGTTGTTTTTTTCTCTGTATAGTATTTTGGAAAACCATTTTTAAGGGTGAAGAAAAAAATGAAACATGTTCAAATAACAAATTTATTAAACAGTGTAAAAATATTTTGCGTTCATTATAGTACATAAAACACGCTTCCTTAACAATAGCAGCATAAAAGAAATAACTACTGTACACATTTTTTCAGTCCAGTTCAATAGTTCTTTTATTGCATACATTAATAATAATATGCAGCGATGCTTACAAATAATTTCAAAATAAAATGAGATTCAAGATTTTAAAAATAAAAATACAACTTTTTATACTGCTGAAAACAAATGAAGGAAGGAAATTTTTTTTTTTTTTTTTTTTTTTTTTAAGGAAAAGAAAAGTAGCACCTATATGTAAAAAAAGGTATCAGATGATAGCTCTTCGCGGATACCTCTACCATGCAGTGGCCTATTGCGTCATAAGGCAGTTGGTACTGGGAGAAATGTAGTGTCCTCTCTGTGAAAACAGTGGTCTGGTCAAGGCCACGAAAGGGATAGGTCCGCAGTCTGTATAACTGCAACAGGAATACCTCCATTTCACGGATAACAGTCGCCCGGATGTAATGCAGGTGGCTTGTGCCAGATGCCTTGTAGTAATCTATAACCTGTATGGCGATTCGAGACGTGTTCTCATCTGGAAGAACTCTGGAGTCTATGTCGGCCCTCTAAGATATCATTATATTGAAAATATACCCTCTATCATTATATTGAAAAGGACCACCATGGTCGAGGTGGTCAAATGGTTTGGGCAGGCATCATGGCAGACGGGGCACACCGACCTTCAATAGAGGTACACTGACAGGTTAGTGCCACAGCGACGAGATCCTCGCACCTTATGTGAGACACACGGCCTATAGACCTAATTTCATCTTTATGGACGATAACTACCATCCACACAGGGCTCAATTGTTGGACGAATACCTCCAATATGAAGATATTGAACGATTGTCTCCTGTCCTTCATCCCGTCAAACATGCACGGGAAGTGCTTAATTGCAGCTCTAACAACTGCCACAGGGATTGATAAGGACTGTATGAAACTTCAATGCTAGAGCTGTTAGAGGCGACATGCGTTTCTCTGACTGATAAGTGTCGGGCAGCTTTCTGTGCTGCACAAGTGACCAGTTTTCTAATTTAGGATGCATGTTTTATCCATTTCTGTATTCTGATATATTGGTCTCATATCAGATATTTTTGTCTGGTTTTGTTTTATTGCAAAAAAAAAATGTCCCTTCAATTGTTTTCACCAGTATATATTAATAACTTCTTATTCAAACTTCTAGAAATCAGATCTTAAATGATGATCACTGTCACAAATTACGCAATATTGCGTGTTTAGTTTTTACATAGAGCTTACATTTCATTAAAAACGTTTTAAGATCACACATAGTTATTAAAAACCTATACGCAATGGTACCCCTTCATCTGTAGGCAAAAACAGATACGATTAAAACCCGACACAGGTTATATCATGATAAAAAGAGATAAAAAATTAATATTAATTATTTCCAAATGTTATACAAAGAATCAGTAAGGTTATTCTCAAATAGTTTTGACTTCCAAAAATCCACTACTGAAGTTATGTATGATATGAAGTTAAAAAGAAATATCCTATCTTCTGTTCAGCAATGTTTGGGGATAGATGAACTGTGGAGATATTGGTTGTTGATGTAGTCTTGATTCTCTTTGAGCCGATGGTTGAAGTCTTGTCTGGTTTGTTTGTTCAGAACTCTACCACTCAACAATACCGAAACATTGTTGGACTTCTGATCATAGGTTTGATATATCTTCTTCACTTCATATCATCCATTATGTAGTTAGCCTCGATGGGAGAGCTACTACATCATCGAAAACCTTAATGCTGCACCCTATTTGTCTAATACGTGGAAATCATTAATATTTTAATTTCTTGGCTCTTTTAACTGTATATTTTATCTCTTTTAAGGCAATGAAAAATTTCTACCCTAAAAATAAAATTTTAAGTTGCGAGAGTTCGTAAAAAAAAACACTCTCTCTTTAATCACTCATTCTGTTAAAATGAACTTGGTTACTTTGCATTCATATAAAAAATATTTATTTTAATATAAAAAGTATTCGTATAAAAAGTATCAAAGCAACAAATGTTTGAAAATTATATCAGTTCCAATTTAAGTGGTAATATGTTAAATATTTCATGTAAATATGTTTCATCTTTCAAACCTGAATAAGATACTTTCTTTGACGCAGATGATTCGTCAAAAGGTTCATTGAGCAAAATTATTTTAACTAATTCTTTGTACCTTACATAATAAATAACCACCCTTATTAGACGCTTGACAAAATCTAAATATAAGACCATTCATATTTTGTTTGACTGTACCATTAAAATTATTTCTTTCTTGAAAGATCAAGAATCTTCAGTAGAACACCATTTCATGACATAAGCAATTTAAGGAAGAAGAAAAAATATCTGTATTCAGGTACACCCAGAGTAGGTCATGAAAGTGTTAAATGTTAAAAAAAAAAATTTGAATATAAAAATGCAAATAGATTATGGTCAGATAACACTATTATCCTGCCACAATTTGTTTCATTTCGATCATCGGAAGACTTTACCATTTAAATTTTAAAACATTATTGCAAGTGAAACAGAATTTGCCCATGAAAAGTTTCTTCCATGGTTTAGCGTTATCTTACGTGTTCCAAAAGAAGCAATAATCTGTTATGTCCAAGTCATAAATATTGCATAATGAGTTTTTTAAGGGCACCGTTTCACACTTATCTTCATTCAGTTTTGAGGGGCACAATTCACAGCTAGCTGCACAAAATGTGTGAAATTTTCTGAAAAGAAAAGAAGAAACTCTGTAAGTATAATAATCTAACCAATTATCAGGAATAACATATGATCCAATAAAATTAATCTTCGTAATGAAATTCAAACTTTTCTGCATTCGATAATGCTACACACTCTGGAAATTTTTTTATTGTGGTTAGCAATGTTAAAAACGGACTATCCAGAATAACTTTTGATCTTATGGTCGGATTTTCACTTTTTAGGACTCATTCCTAATGTTTCGAGGGGGTGACCTCAATATGCTAATTAATTAGTGCAGACGATATTTCGAGATAAGAAATCAGACACAAAAACGTACTTTCTCTGAATAAACACATCTTTTTTTCAACGGATTCGGATTTCTGACTTCCAAAATAAAGGGGGTGGCCGTAATCTGGGAAATAGGGTACTAATAGTTCGGTCAGGAGAGTGATCTAAAGTTAAGACCCCTTAACGTTAATTTTATTTTTTGCGTATTTCGCGACATCTCGAGAACTTGATAAATATTTATTATCAGGGGTCTGTCCAGACATTTTGTGAAAGGTCCGTTTTTGTAAAATTGTGAAAAAATTGCTCGTAATTTGTGAATATAAAATAAACGTCACATTCTTTCAACCAGGGCTTTTGTGAAAACAGGGTCCTGTTATTGCAAAAAAACTTTTCAAGAAGTTTTTAAATTGTAAAGACATACGAGATTACGCTCAACACTGTAAAATTATAATTTAAAAAAAAATTAAATTTTAAAAGATAAAACAGCAATTGCTACTACAAAATTGGAGATGCAACATACAAATATTTGGTATAAAGCCTACACTATTGAACGCAGAATATTCATTTCGGACGAATAAAGGAAGAAACGTCTGCCGAAGACAAAACTTTGTTCGTTTGCATTTGTCTTTCTTCCCCCCCCCACTCCCCTGGGAAGGGTTTATTCGATTAACAAAACAATAATGAAGATAAACAAATTTGTGAAGGGTTCGTTAACGGACCTAGATTTCTTCTAAACAGACCCCTGATTATTATTCTATTAAATAATAGTCGAAAAAAATTTGAATTGTAAGGTACGCAATTTTTTTCATCATTCTAAAGTATGTAATTTTACATGTCAAAGTACAAAATGTGTGCGAAATCGGTTGAATAATTCCTGAGAAATCGAATTTTAAACAAACAACTTCTTTGAAATTCGATTTCTCAGAAACTATTCGATCAGTTTCGCACAAATTTTGTACTTTGCCATGCAACATTACATACTATAAAATTATATAAAAAAAAATTTATATCCTTACAATTCAAAACTTCTTCCATAATTAAATTAAACAATGAAAAATATCAGGTGCATGTCTTAAATTATGACCAAACACTACTTGACATTAGTTAAACCTCGTAACCATAGTCACCGCCACTACTCCAGACGAATGGCTAGGGGAGTTCTTTACATAGACCTATATAGTTAACTTTTAAGCTCGGTTGTTTGTTTGGTAAAGGCTTTAATCAATCTTTTTTTGAAAAAAGGGTTTTTATTGATGCTCACCGGAGGACTTTGCCAATTATTCAGTAAAGGCTATCGTCCTGTCAGATGCCATGTTTGCCTGTTTCCCCCCCTCTTTCTAGGTATATGCTGAGCATCAGGAAAAATGGTTTACTTCATGATTGAAACTGTGATTATCAACCTACTGAAATGGATTTAACCTAGTCTTGAAAATGGAACGGACGATCCAAAAGAATTTTTATAACTTTAGCGGTTATTACATTTATTTCTTCTATAGCTCTGTTGAGAAATAAATAAATGTGTATAGTTTTGTCTTATTTCAGCCATGCTATTGTTGTTATTTGTTTGGAATTATCATCTCTACTAAAATTCCTTTCATAGTTGCAAGTCATAACCTACAACACACAACCTTCCCGTCATTATACCCTTTTTTCAATGAGGTGGTACCAGAAAAAAGGTGATTTGTAAACAGACCCACTAAATAATTGATTTCTCTACTAAAGGTAAAATTTTCTCAAATGCAGATTTTTCGGCATATTAAAAATGAATCCCATTAATTTATCTTTAGTTATAATTTGCTTATAACCCTACCACTCAATTACTTTTCAAGAAATAGAAATGAATCATGCAAATTTCAAATGATCTACTTACTCATCATTTTGAGTCTGATGTCAAAGTGAACGAAAGGAATATAGAAGAGGAAGCCAGAGCAGAGGAAGAGCAGCGCATAGAAATACTCTAATCTTGGATCTTCAATAATAGGGGCCAACACCAAATACGCTGCCACTACGGCCATCACAAGAGGTATGATTGTAGGCACCTAAAAAGCAATCATTGTCATTACTCAAATAGAATATTCATTAGATCCTTGTGCATAAATTTTAAACACTACACTTACCTATGTGGCAATTGAAAATTAAATATGATAAAAATATTATGTTAATATTAATTATTATTAATAATAATTATATTAACATAATATGGTAATAAAAATATTATGTTTGCCATTTTACCATTGCATTGTTTTTAAAACTTAATACAAAACCGGGCAATGATTCCTGTTTCCTGCTCTGGAGTAAATATCTGCAGTTCGTAGGTTCAGTTGAATCATGGGTTATAATCCCCTTGCCATCGGGTTAACCCTGGGAGATTTTTGTGGTTTTACTCTCCGTGTAACGCAAATGCAGGTTAGTTCCACCCAAAACGTCCTCCACAAAGACTAATTTGTTCCATTAGGCTGGGATAGTCTGGTCGGATGTCCAAGAGTTCGTGGATTCGATCCCCGCCGGCCGAAGACTCCCCGTGTAGTAAATGGAGACTGATGCACGTTAAAGTCGCAAAGTCCTCCATGATTTCATAACAAATCAATCCTCCTGGGGGTACTGATCCAGGAGTTTCCTTGTCTTCTGGATTGATTTAAAATTACAAGGCAACGGAATTGAACTTTAGGCTTCGTAAACTCAAAAATTGGGTCGGCTGTTCAACGACGGATATAAATTTGTTCCATTACTTGATCCTAAAGTTCCCTTGTCTTCTGAGTTGGGTTCAAAATTACAAGGCTAAGGATTTGAGCTATGGTATTTGTAAAGCCAAAAAGGGGTCGGTAGTTCAACGTTGGTAATAAGATGAAACAAAAAAAAAAATTGTGTGAAATATGCTAAAAATTATTTCAGCCAATTATCCTAGCTGATTTTAACTAAGAGGAATGATGCACGAAACTTATCAATTGAAAGTAAATCGAAATAAAAACAAATAAATCCATAGAACTCTCTTAAGAGACATCTCGTATGCACCAGCTTTTCCCAAAAAGTATTCTGCAAAACTCTTTATTCGCATGTCACTTTACCATTCATAAAATTTTAAATTATAAATTTTTAATAGGTCGTGGGCCATAAATCATTTAAGGAATTTAATATAGCGACATAAATAATGTGTTATCTTTAGCTAGAGTCAAATGGATTTATAAATTGAATGATAGATGTATCACAGTTTAATAACAATAAGTTTAGGCGTTAAAACAAATAGGAAGTAGTAACTCTCAGAAAGAATTTTAACCACTAGTGCCCCATGTACTTGTCTTTTTTTAGGGTTTTCCAACCATAATGGTTTGTAGAAGGGTAACACGGGTGGTTGTTCATAAGATTTAAAACAGGCAGTTCTTAAACGGTCTAAAATAATATATAACTTTAAGAGCATTATTGATAAAACGATCAAAAATTTTCATTTTATGTTATTTATAGAATGTTATTTTCCCAATAAAAAGAAAACTAAAAAGTTAACAAATAAAATAAATAAATTTAATAATTTCCAAATGTAAAAAAATACTTTTCTGAAGACATTGCACGTACGTGGATCCAAAAATTATAATTTATTACAAAAAAAAATACTTCAACTTTGACTCAAAGATTAATGACAGCACCAATAATATTTAAAACTGAAAATATAATAATAACTTTTTGTTTTATTTCTAAACACGGGGGAAAAAATGTAAAACTCACTCTGTAGGGACGAGGTAAATCCTTTTCAGTAAATCTCAGAACTATGACAGTAAACATTGTACCACCGTAGAACATCCAGGCGACAAAACTGAAGAAATCGATTAAGCTTCCAATGTTTCCTGCGCTTATCATTAGGAAGACGACCATACCCTGAAAGAATTATAAATATTTCACATAAAAACAGTGTCATCTACAATGCTACAAAGTAATATGGTGATAATTCAGTTTCTATGACAGAACTGGCTGAAATTCTTGAAAATAATATCCAAAATATTTTAAAAGGTAATGAAATTATGTATTTCCCATTTCGTAGAAACCTCCGCATGACGAAATAATCTTTGTTCTCGGCTGTAAAAGTTCAAGATAGAACTTTTAAAATCTTCTTCTGAAATGTGTCATTGTATATTTATTACGAAGTAAAATAAAATAGAAATTAAAAAATACTATATTTTAGGTACCTTAAACTCAAGACGAAACTATCATTTAGGACTTTCTTTGCTTTTCAAGGCTTTTTTGCTGTGAAAATTCATCTGAGCTATAAGAACGGACAAATAAACTTGAACGTTTAAAATATTATTAAACTTTTGAAAAAAATTACCAGCTTGGTGAAAATTTCCCATTTAGATGACAAATATATTTTAAAAAAACTCACCAATTCAAAATTATTCTCACACTTAATGAGCCTAAAGAATGACGCATCGTAGTAATTATTCACTTTTTAATTAAAAATAAAAAACTTCATTCAATTTTGCGTAACTGAGGCTTTACTTCGTAATGAGGATTTGCACCATTTTCAGAATTGACAAACAGGGCACTGGCTGAAAATAGGTAAAACTTAGCTTTACAGTCTTGAACAGAACAACTATCACAAGTTACAAAAAGTTTCGAAATATATCAAAACCATGCAATCAAAAAGTAGTGAATTTGATGACTGTTTAAAATAAAATAATAATAATCGTTAAACGGATTGACTGCTATGTTGTATTGCATTTATTTTCAGATAGTAAACAACTTTATCATTTCATATTTAGTAGACTATGAAAACTTTTAGTGAAAACTGGAAATTTTTATTTCAAACAAAAATTATTAGAAAGCAAAATTAAAGGCATTTTGAAAAAAAAAAAACATTGTTAACTTTGATGGCAGCCTCCCGGCTGCCATCAAAGTTAACAATGTTACCAACCTAGTTGGCAGGGCGCTGGACTCTCGTTGGCGAGAACGGGAGTTCAAAACCAGCCGACCCGTGTAGTGAATGATAACTGGTGCATTTTAAATCTGTCGGGTCAAAAAGTCCTCCATGTTTCCATAAAAAATTATACCTATGGGGTACTAGATCAGAGATTGATCGTTCTCTGGTTCAGGTCAGAATTACCATCTGTGAATAGATAGGTCCGCCCTATAAACGGGTGAGGCAGAAGTCGAATTCTTGGATGAAGGAGTTCTTTTTTTTTTCCTCTTTAACTCCTTTTGATTTGAAGCAAGTTTATGACATGACACTAGTTTGTCTTCTTTTCTAGTGCTAAATTTAAATGATTTTTTAAAAACGTATGTTTGTCAAAATGGTATGTTCTAAGCAAACAGAAAAAATCGGAACAACTATGAACCCCGCATTATTTTTTATTTTATTCTATAACTGGCGTTGAACAGTCGACCCAATTCTGAGTTTGCGACCATCAATGTTCAGCTCCTTAACCTTGTGATTTTGGATCCAACCAGAAGGCAAGAAGGATCAAGCATTAGGACAAAGTAGCCTTCGGAAAAGTTTTTTTTTTCTTAATGGAACCAACCCGTGATCTCTCACCCATACATATATATTCCTTCTCATTCCGTATTGGAGCATATAGCTTTCCATCTCACTCTAATTTGTGGCTAGATTTCCTATTGTTTTCAATTCGTTTACAATCGTCCTGCATCAATTATTTTTAGGTTTTCCTTTTTATTCTATTGCCAAGAGGGTTCTATTGCCCTGAAGGTAAGTGAACGAATAAATAAGCGAATAGATAAATTAACAAATCAATATATGAGCGAATTGAAAATTCACAAAAATCGAATCAATCAATGAGAGAATCAACAAATCAGTGAGTTTATCAATGAAACAGCAAAGTAAGCGGATAACATTCCTTAAAAAAATTTCTCGAATTCTAATCACCCATTCAATTAATTTTGTCTCAGTTTTTCTCAAATAACTAAACTAAACTCAGTGGCACGACAGCCCATAGAGGGCCAAGGCCTACTGTGCCCGTCTCAGTTTTCCTGACCTTGGGCTCTGAAGTGCAGGAACAGATATTCCGGTTAGGTGGGCAGCCGAACGCGAAACCTCCAGTGTTTAGATCCCAAGCATGCTTGGTACTCATTTATCGACCCACTGAAGAGATGAAAGGCTGAGTCAATCTTACCCGGCTCGAGGATCGAACCCAGGACCTAGGGCACGGGAGCACTCAGCCATCTCGAATAACTACAGATATGTATTAATCTGCATCCGTGCCCATCTTGATGAAACTCGGAATATAATCCTGGACCTGAGTGCACTTCTATAGGAAGGTTTGTGTTGAGGTTTGAGTTCGAGATTAGTTAGATAGTTTGAGTTTCCTGTGCTGGCAACATCTTATTATTTTGATATTTTTTTTTGATGTAAATAAAAGTTAAGTTTTCAGTTTGTTCTACGTGACTTTCAGTCTAATTTACTCTCAACAAAATCCAACAGTTTGAAATGGAAAATTATTAATCAGAAATGATATCTGTATATTACATTTATTTATATTTGTATTAGATAGAATTTTGAATTTGTACATCCTCGGACTTGGACATGAGAAAGAAATTTGGACATCCCACGCCTGCCACATTTTCCAGCAATGACGTCATCAAAGATGGCAGTCGCACGATCGCAGGACAAATAATATTAGTGTTTATATTTGACATGCTGGTAGAAATACTGAGTTAGTATGCTTTTATTACCATTTATTAATTCACTAACAGTCCAAGAATCTGTAGGCGTAGAAAATCGTGAGAGTTTGGTCGCTCTGACTCCTAAAAAGTCTCACCTGGCACCCTAAATTTTTTTTTTCAAGCTATTTCTTATAAAAAAGCTTGTAATATTTATGTTTAAAATAAATGAATAAACAAAAAAGTTTTTCTTAAAATAGCATTTAAGCATTTTAAAACTATTACTATTTGTAAAGAGTGTCAAAATACCGCTCTTAAATCTTCTGGGTATCTTTTTGTAAAATTTATCATCAAAGTTAATCAGGCAGTTTTCATCAAAATTAAAAATCTGAGTCACTTTTATTACTCGCTTTTCCTTTGATTTACAACTCTTCTCGTGAGCACTTTTCTACATCTGATGAGTAATCATACGCATTCCTGATACATAAAAAATTTTTTTTTTTAAAGAAAAAGGCCGATATTTATCGCGATGCAATGAGGCCCATAATCACGAATGTAATTTCTAAGAATTTAGGGCAATTTCAAAACACTGCTTGTTCCAATATTCCTTTGATTCCTCGTACATAGTTCTTTTCATACAAATTTGACTCAACATTACTTAAAACAATGAACATTTATTAAACTAATTAAATATTCTACTTCCAGGAAGGTATTTATTTAAAAAAAATTAAGCACACATTTAGCCCCATGGAATGCTTTCAACCTCATTGTAAGATTTGTAAACTTATCTGGAATTTCTTAGCTGAAACTTGTGCAAATCCATACTCATTGTCTCAGAATTATGGTATGTACTTTCTACACCTACACATAGTTATTGAACTTATAAACAGTGATTATAGCGTACTGACTCAATTTTCATGCAAATCGATCAAGTATAAACACAAATATTAGTAGTTCTATGGTCGATTGACCGATCTTTTGATTTACCAAGAAACCTACCAGGCGGTGGATATCCACCCAGGTCCAAAATACAGCTACCAAAAAAATTCTTAATACTCAAACTTTCCTGCAGACAGTGCAGTCAGACTCACAATCTAAAAATATACAAAAGGCGAGGTAATAGTACTTACATTGAAGATGAGAGCAGGTGCAGGAGTCAAACGTTTCACTTGAACATAAGACATCAATTCGATTGAATGGCCCTGTCGAGCAGCTACGAAGGGTAACCTGAAATGATTTATTCTCTGATGATCTGAGACAATAATTGTGAGTAGCTTTTAGAAACCTCATCTATCCTAATCTGTTGACAACCAATTAAAATTTTTTGGATAAGCATTTAAATGTTAAATACTGTTCATTAACTAAATATTTATAAATTCCTTAAAAAATTCGTAAAAAAACTAAACTTCTGAAATTTTTTTTAATCTACCCAATAAACACCATCCAAAATAGCGGTGACCCTTACAATTCTTTATATAAAGAGAAATAAAAATATTATTTTAAGGATACTCTTTAGCTCCCATGACGTGTATGGATGCATTTCATTTTTTATTTTTTTTCTAACAAAAAAAAATTAAAAACATATCTTTATATATATGTAGACTTTCAGCAACATGGTGTAATATCTCGGCAGATTGTGAAAGCCGTCAGTCATCTTGTAATATTAAAAGAAGCTACATCATCCTCTTTGTCACTGAGAGGCGCCATCCAGTCCCGATGGGAAACTCCCGAATTTATAATTAACTCTTGACTTTATACCATAGAACAGTGTTTCCCAAACTTATGACTTTTGTGTACCCTTTCTAAATTTTTCGTAACGCTGTGTACCAATAATTAAAAAAATGAATGTATTTTTTACTATAAAAAATTGCACAAAAGTTAAAAATCACAGCTGGCTGTTGACGAAACTAATTATTAACAGTTAACTCTGCAAAAAGTAGCCAATAGAAAAATACGTAATCTTACATTTTCATAGCTATCTTTGTTTCTAAATAAAAATTTTTGAAATTTTCGTTAGTTACAAGATATTTCGCATGAGAACGCGTATCCCAGCTGAACTGTTCCCGTACCCCTGGGGGTACGCGTACCACACTTTGGGAAACACTGCCATAGAACAATTTAATTTCTTATTCACATGCATTTGGTCGATACTGCGCGAAGGCAGCTCTCACCAGACATGTCAATGTTAACTGTTATATCCTTCTATCCTTTTGTTTCTATTAAATTGTTATCTTTGTCAAATTATCGTCGTTATTTCATCTAATGCTGCTATGACTCCCACATATATGTATGGCTGCATTTTATTTTTTAAATAAAAGAAACTGAAAAATATATATTTTATAAATATCTATATTTTAAATTCATTCTTATTTCAGTAAACATAAGCGCACAAGGTAACAAATTTATTTCCAACTAAGTATACAATTTAATAAACTAATATTCAAACACATTTGTAAAATATATTGTTTCAGCCTAATATTTATCTGTTAAAAAACTCAATTTCATAGCAAAAATAAATGTAATAAAGTTTTAGTGTCTTTAGTCGTTCGGTGGATGATCCACACTTCAGATCGTCCCTTTTTCACCTTAAGCATTTATTTGCATACGTTTTTGAAAAAGAGAAGTATTTCGAACAATCTTTACCTTGAGGCGATGAGTGCAGTTCCGTTCGATGCTCCATACGCAGATGCAGCTACTAATATAGGAATGATGAAGGACACTGGTCCTAACATACGATTTGCAAAGCCCTAAAAAATCAACAAAATGAAGATAATTAGTTAAATGAAAATGCATTTTTGGTATTGTCATATTCACCTTTGTTCTAAGCAGTAGACCCCACTTAAATTTTCTATTTATAGCTTCATAAAAATTTTTTAATAGTTTATACTTATTTTATTTTATTACCGTCGTTGAACAGCCGACCCAATTTTTGTTTCATGGGAGGGGGACACGGAAACTTCCCATGATCAGGGTTCTCTCTCTTTTTCAAATAAATGTTAATTTTCTAAAATCACTAAAATTGCATAATTAAACATCAACCTTTAAATATTAATTTCTTTAAACTATACAGTATAATATAATCACCTTGCTCACATCCATTTTCGGGCCAATGTTAAGTAACTAACAAACCAAACGCGCTTCAGTACTACAATAAGAATGCGCCATAAAACAAAACCCTCTATTTACGCTTTTAACTCCATTTGCGCTTTTCATATTTTGTAATCTGGCACTGGCAATCTTATTACGAAAACATTTTAAATCATTCTTGAAAGATTCCCGGTACATGAGAGTTCATTTGAATTCGCAACTCGCTTTATAGATTTCGTTTTGTGTTTTTTTTTTTTTTTTTCGTTACATTTTATTTTTTGTTTTTCAACGTGATATATTTTTATTCTATTTTTTTAAAAACTTTTTATGATTGCTCAAACTGTTGCATTGAAATATTATGCTTTTGGCTATATTGATACAATGTTAAAAACTACTCCTTTTTGCCGGTATGATCGTCTGAGCTTAAGATCATTTCATTTTTTTTTGTTTTCGGGGTTTTAACATGTATGTGTTTAATTTTCTTGCATATTTTATTTTAATTATTTTTCTCCTTCTCTTTTCATTAATTTTTGATATTTTCCATGTTTTCTCTATATTTTTTAACTTATTTTATGAGTTAGTACTTTTCTCAGTNTTTTTGGCCTTACGACCTCTGAGAATCAATACATTTCTGAAAGCTCTTATGAGTGGTACAATTATGTATGTTTAGATTTGAACCCAAATTACAATAACAAAACTGCATAGAATATTAGGGTTGTTCACACATCGCCTCGTAGTCATAACATAAGCGGAGGGATACACCGGAAATTTTCTAAATTTCTTCCGGTTTAAAAGGACGCTTGTTATTGTTTACATTAGACCACCCATCCATACATTGAAGTAAATAAACCCTTCTTAGACTTACTTCACTCACACCTCATTTAGGATGTAAAAAAGGTACATGAGTGATTTGTTTTGTGGTCAATTAGTGCGCTATTAGTTTTAATAAGAAAAGGTTTCAAAAACCTTAAAACACACTAGTGTTCAGTGTGTCTTTCTCTTAAGTAGAATAATCATTGCTTAATCCAGTGAACTTTAAATAACAATCATATTTTATGATGTTAACACAGACAGTTTTAATTGCAATTGTTTATTGATTAGCGAGTAGAGTTCGTTTATTCAAAAAAACTACACTATTCATTAAATACCATTAAAAAGTTGCATTTCTCAAAAATGTATCATTTAAGATGGAATAAAGCATTGCCCTTTTAATCGAATAACCCGCTTATTTGAATAGAGTATTGCTTTAAGCGGGGTTAACTGTACCACAAATGATGCCTTTACTTGCAGGGCAAGCCATGCGCCCTGCTGGTAGGTGTAGGGTTTATTGGGGAAATGTACATTAAAAACTGAAGTTTAATTGATCGGCAGTCTTGCACAAAATTTCGTTAATTGATAATCGTTTTCGGGATCTTGATTTATCATACAAATTTCAATATCATAACAAAAATAATAGATCACTTTTCTGCGCATGGCTTTTCTTCCAAGTTGGCGTCCACAATTGTAAGACCCAGAAATAAGACAAAAGGGAAATTTTTTTAAAATTTGTCAGAAAACCATTTGGAATGATTCCATTTGAACTTTTTTGCACGCTTTTGTATTTTAATTTTTTTTTTTATAAAATGACTCACTAGGAAAAAAAATTCAAACTTTAACATTAATCTATATTGTTATTATTCAAATCACTATGGTTCAGTGGCGTACGTAGAATTTTTTCAAGGGGGGTGTTCATAATTTTCTGGAACTACTAAAAGAAATTCGAGTATGTAATAAAGCACTATTATTTCCCTAATTCAGACAGCTAGACAATTTTGACTTTTTATTTAGACAACATTGTTTAGTTAAATTTTGATTTGATTTTTTAAATTTAAGAACATAATGTAATATCTTCTGAAAAAAAGTCATATGGGTGGGAAGTAACACTTTGTGGGCCACTTTTACATTCATCAGATTTTGTTATGCTAGAAACGTTTTCTTCAACGGAAGTATCACATTTCCGTACAACAGAAAAACTTACATCGGTACTATATACTGTCACTTCACTAATTTCAGGTCGTGATTTTTCTCAAAGTAATTAAAAATTGTTAAATTCTTGCGTTTTGACATCCTAAAGATCCAAGAACAGAAAATATATATATTGGCGCAGAAATATCCGCTATGTTACTATCTCAAAGTTTCGAGCGGGTAGGAATAACTTCAACGAGCACAGTATCACCAATGGTATTGTTACTGATTTCTTCCCTGGTCAAAATAGTGGAGACGACGGGTTCGGCGATTGAATGAACTTTTTGTTAAGACAAAACAGATTTAGCGACAAGCTCCGAAAGACAAGCGGCAGAGATAACTCTTAGTCCGACTAACTAACTCCACTAGCTAACTATTCAAGTTTTATCAGTGTACCTATCCAGTGTTGGATATCTGCTCTTTCATCGCAATAGAAAAATAAACTGGAGGGTGGGAAGGGGGTTGCTGCGCTAACAGTAAGTTAAATCTCAGAATGTACAATAGTTGAAAATCTTAATTCTAGTCTGGGTTATACATAACAATAAAATCGCAATTTGATACATAATAATAGAAACAATTGAAGATAAAAGAAAAGTAAATTATTTACACTATTCTAGGATTCCAGAATCATCGCGTTAAGATCTCGCGAATGCCAGCCAGTCTCGAAAACTATCGCGACTGGCAGGACAGAAAGGAACCAGTCCGTAACATTATCACGTGAATGTGGTTTCGAAAGCACAACCTTATTATAGTAAATGTTTTTTCAGTATTCTGAGAAATACCGTGAGAAAAAAAAGTAGGCAAAAGGCAAATAAAAATATATAGTCTTAAAAAACAATAGCCCGCATAATTTCTACTAAAATTTTCATTTTTGCTACTTTGTCTGAGCTCAAGGGGGGTGTTTAAACCCCTAAACCCCTCCCTTGCGTACGCCACTGCTATGGTTATTAACCTTATTAAAAAAATGAAAAGGCTGTTTGGTGAAATTTGAGTAACTGAGAATGCTATTTCAAAGGAATGTGTTTGAAGACAAATGCATTTTAAATATCACCATGATTCCCATGCGTGCAAAATGCAAATATAGATGAGCAGCATTCCTTCAATCATCATAGACTGAAATTCACAAAATTTATTTTAATTTGCTATTAAATTAGAAAATTTAATTTACTATATCAGGAGTGATTGTGAGCCCAACTCAAAAATAAAGTAAAATAAAAAAAAGTAAATAATAAAGTAAATAAAAAAAAAGTAAAATCATTAATGTCTTTATAAATTTAAATCAATGATATTTTCAAAACATGAAATTCTAAATAAATTATATGCAACATAATTTAAATGAATAATTATGTATAAGTTTACTTTTATCTCTAATCACATTTATTATTCAATCAGATAAAATGAAAGAGATGCCAAGTATAAATTCTAGTTCTAATATTTTTAAATAAAATATACAAGAATTTTTATACATAAATGTGATCCATCATTTCTTTAAACTTCTGGACCTTGGATATCCGAAATTTCCAGATCACGGTTAGCGGAAAATCCGGAAAACCGAATTTTTTCCGGAGTACAATCATCTCTGCTATATGTTTTTGAAGGCTACATCTCATGGGTATGCAACTTTCTACCGCTGAGTATGCATCATTTTGATTATATCGAAGATAAGGCACAAATAGTTATTGAATATACAGTATTTATACACTCAACATCTTGTCGGTGCGCTTTTTTTCATTATTCAACTGCTAGACCAAGATTGTCTTACTTTTGCTAACGTTTTAATCACTAAGCATAATCAAACCCGGACTTCAGAATCTGGTACATTACAAATGTAACTTTTCATGCGATTTCTTCGTATTCAGACCACTAAACAATACAGGGATTTTTAAAAAAGCTAATTTCATTGTCCCAAAAATAAATTTAGGCGACAACGTTATGAAAACAACAGTTGACTTTAAAAATCTTTCCAAAGAAAAAAAAAAGACTAATATATATATATATAGGGGTCTGTCCAGACATTTTGTAAAAGGTCCGATTTTTGTGAAATTGTGAAAAAATTACTCACATTCTATCAAGTAGGGTCCGGTTATTGCAAAAAACTTTTTCAAGGAGTTTTTAAATTATGAATAGATACAAGATTATGCTCAGCACTGTAAAATTATTATTTAAAAAAATTAAATTTTCAAAAATAAATAGCAATTGCTGCTTCTAAATTAGAGATACGACATACAAATACTATTTGGTATTTAGCCTATACTGCTGAACGCAGAATATTCACTTCGGACGAATAATGGAAGAATCATCTGCCGAAGACAAAACTTAATTCGTTTACATCCATCTTTCTTGTTTTTTGCCCTGGAAAGGGTTTATTCGATTAACAAAACAATAATGAAGATAAACAAATTTGTGAAAGGTCCGATTAAAAGAAGAAGAAAAAATATCTATTCTTTTAAATAATCTATTCCTTTAAATAATCTATTCCTTTAAAATAATCTATTTCCTTTAACACGCTTATAAAGTTGTTTGCATTTTCTTAAACACACAGTTCGAGCTGTATCCAGAATAAAAAGCTCACCTGCGATAAGCGACTTAAAAGCCAAAAGTTAATGTTTGTAAAGCATATTCAGGGGTCTGTTTAGAAGAAATTTGGGTCCGTTAACGGACCCTTCACAAAATATCTTTTCATAAAAACGGACCCTTCACAAAATATTTTAACTTAAAAACGGACCCTTCACAAAATGATTTTTCTTTTAATCGGACCCTTCACAAATTTGTTTATCTTCATTATTATTTTGTTAATCGAATAAACCCTTTCCAGGGCAGAAAACAAGAAAGATGGATGTAAACGAATTAAGTTTTGTCTTCGGCAGACGATTCTTCCATNTATTCAGACCACTAAACAATACAGGGATTTTTAAAAAAGCTAATTTCATTGTCCCAAAAATAAATTTAGGCGACAACGTTATGAAAACAACAGTTGACTTTAAAAATCTTTCCAAAGAAAAAAAAAAGACTAATATATATATATATAGGGGTCTGTCCAGACATTTTGTAAAAGGTCCGATTTTTGTGAAATTGTGAAAAAATTACTCACATTCTATCAAGTAGGGTCCGGTTATTGCAAAAAACTTTTTCAAGGAGTTTTTAAATTATGAATAGATACAAGGTTATGCTCAGCACTGTAAAATTATTATTTAAAAAATTTAAATTTTCAAAAATAAATAGCAATTGCTGCTTCTATGTTAGAGATACAACATAGAAATATTTGGTATTTAGCCTATATTGCTGAAAGCAGAATATTCATTTCGGACGAATAATGGAAGAATCGTCTGCCGAAGACAAAACTTGATTCGTTTACATCCATCTTTCTTGTTTTTTGCCCTGGGAAGGGTTTATGCAACTAACAAAACAATAATGAAGATAAGCAAATTTGTGAAAGGTCCGATTAAAAGAAGAAAAAAAATATCTATTCTTTTAAATAATCTATTCCTTTAAATAATCTATTCCTTTAAAATAATCTATTCCTTTAAAATAATCTATTTCCTTTAACACGCTTATAAAGTTGTTAGCATTTTCTTAAACACACAGTTCGAGCTGTATCCAGAATAAAAAGCTCACCTGCGATAAGCGACTTAAAAGTCAAAAGTTAATGTTTGTAAAGCATATTACTTATAAAATTTGTAAGTTACATTATGCAGCTTAACTAAATTCAAACTCAGTACATTTTTACTACATACAAGTTATTCCATGGGAGTTTTCAAACAAATTTAATATTATATATATATAAATTCCTTATCATAAAGTCATATAAATAATCCAAATTATAATCATTAAAACTTCTTACACAGATGCATTGATCAGCTCTTCAGTAACGAAATTCAAGTTATTCCTGAAATTAGAATAGAAAAAACAAATAATAAAAATGAATTGAAAAACAAAATTGATAAATATATAACCTGAATAAGTATTTACCATCCATCGTAAGCCCAGAGACCAAAGTAAAAAGCTGTTGCTAAGTCTGAGAAAGAGGTTGTTGTTCCCGCAAATCCAGTATTTATGTGTTCGTAATGACCTACATCGAATAGTTTCTTTTTATATAAATGAAATATATGCAATACTTATTTTTTTATTGTTTAAATTATTGCTTTCTAATGTTAAATAATATCGTTTTGCTACCTGGGCAATCATAATACGTATTACAAATAATTAACATAATTACTTTAATAATATACATTTATTTTTGGACTTCATATGTTTATTTGGAGGTATGAAGGCTGTCTCCAACGTAACTCTATAATGACGTCATTTATAGGGTATTAAAAAAAAATTGCTAAAAATAGAACTAATTTAAAATTCCTGATTCACTGTCACTAGAAGTAATAAATAAATCATTTAACAAACTAAAAAGAAATCACAATACGGCCACTGAAACATAACCACTAAAATAATAAAAAGTAAAAAATGGGATGGAATGTCAAAATTCGAGATCTCAATTCTCCAACTCTATGATTCTCGAATACGCCATCTGGGGAGAGAACCAGTTCCATGTCTTGACCCTCCCTCTTCTCAGTTGTATAGGATTGAGTGCCTGTATTCTAGGCATTCTAGTATAAGATATACTACGATATTTTTTCCTTTTCTTAATATTTTCGTGTTTGAATGTCAAAATATTTAAAAATTTCAACTACGCTTTCTTTTAGAACTATGTTCAATTTAGTTTTTAGTTCCACATAGTTTCTAAACTTAAAAGTTTTTAATCCTATTTGAAAATCAAGACAGAAACTAACGTACTTCCTTCCCCTATGACTCTCCACACACTACAAGTGTTGCCATAGGTATAAGAGTATTGCTCTACGACACCTGTAGCCCATTTCAGTCGCCAATTGACGAATTAAATTATAATAACAAGACTAAATCGTGAAGAGACTGGAAATGGCGACAGGAATGAAACAACAACGAAAACAAAACATCGAGCTGAAAAGTCATAGACCGAACTGGGCTCATAAAAATTTGCAAAAACTTAGAATTAACCATTTATTTTGATAATAATTTTCATCTAGATGGGAAAGTCTCGCCTAAATGGCGATTTTAAAAATGGTTTGATAACTTTTAAAGGTCCGTTCTAAAATCCAGATATTTTTCGTGGCAAGATGATGTATATAGTACGCTTTGCTTTATTTATTTGGCTGTGGTCTATTTTACTTGGCGAAAGAGAAATGCATTGTTAACGCTGTTTTTCGAAGCTTTGTCGCCAAGAAAAATAAAAAAAAGCCATAATTTAAGTGCACCTTACACTTGGAAGAAACACGGTGATGATTTTAATCTATATCAATAATCTTGCCGTGAAGAATTATCTGGGCTTTATAACCGAAAAATAACTTGAATACTTTAAAAGCTATTAAACCTTTTTAAAAATAGTCAATTTGGTGACATTTTCCACCTAGATGAAAATTATCAAAATCACTTTCTCATTCTCAGTTTTTTCAAATTTTTATGAGCTCAAGTAATACAACATTGGAGTAAGTTTTTAAATATTAAAAAAAAAAATCGATCAAAAACGGTTTTCATTCTCACAAAACGGTGACTTTTCTCCATGTTGATGTTTTGCGCTATTTTCAGAATAAGTATACACATTACTGGCTATTAGATAGGCTGAGCTTGACTGCATAACTAACTGCTCATAAGTAACTGTTGCAAACTCAGATCATTTATGAAAATTGCTCATTATTCGCAAAGAAGTATCAATTCATATTACGACGGAGCCTTCGAAAAACAAAGCTTAAAGCTCTTAAACCTTTGGCGAAATCACCCATACCATAGGGACACTATGAGTTTTAAGGGACTGCTTAGTATGTGAGCATAAAAACCCTGAAAAATGAACGCAACCGTGTAAATAGTTATAATTAAACATGTTATGATTGCTCTTTATGAATATAACCTAAAAATAATAAACAGGGATGAGAGTAGTCAGCGAGCAAAAAGGAGGAAATCCAAGAATATATATATATATATATATAAAATATCCAAAAATTTGACAAAAAGAGTGCGATTTTAAAATCGTGTGAATAAGTATTGTAATATTTGATTTAAAATTCAGAGAATAAGAATCCAGATATGTGACTTTTAAATCACATGAATATGAAACTCGATATTAGATGTCAAAAATACAAATCATGATGGTAATTTTTGAATCGCCTGAATATGAATCCCACAATGTCTAATTTTTAAATCACGTATAAATACGAAAATCTATGTTTGATAAAGCAGCAACGTCTGAATTACGAAAATAGGAGGTATCCGGCGGGAGGATAAAAAAAACTAGAAAATCTTATTTTCTGAGCATAAAAAATAGCTAAAATGAGGAAGGGGTGGCAGGTACGTAGCTTGAACTTTCTGTTTATCTTTGAAAATCGGAAATAAATATAATTATTTTATTTCAACAACCGAATCTTCAGAAAAAAGCGGAATATTTATAAAAAAGAAAAACTTAAGCTTTTAGAGAATCAGAGTTTTTGATAAAATGGCTGAAATCCGCTAAAAAGCGGAAAAATCTCATCCCTGAATAAATCACTTTTCTTACACATTTGGCTGAGTAATTGAAGAACAATAAAGGTCATCGAGGGTCTTTTCAAGTATAGGAGTTACAGATTGTAAAATGGGTCTTGGTTTAGATTTGATGGCGTTCACACTTTTCAACTGTGTTCAAGAGTAATAGTAAACAGTGCGCATGCGTCGTCATTACATGCGTTGCTATGGCGACCGCTGCTGTTTTTATTTTCACTTGAAGGCATTTTTAATGTATTTACATCATAATAATTTAAAGTATTTTTACATTATTTTTTTTTAACGTATAATGACTGGCTTGACGGTGATTTCAATACAAATATGAATGCTGAAGAAGTAAAAGTATTTTGTGACGTCATAGGCCGGATATGAAAACCAATCCGACGACAAACATGAATGGAGACAGTTTTTGCAACCCATGATTTGAAATGTTGTGGCGTTTAACGGTGTCTGTCTAGAAGAAAAAGCATTTGACGAATGGGTAACCAGTAATCGCAATGAGGCAATCACAACTTTTTTTTTTTTTTTTAAATTTTGCCTTTATTTTCATAAGACCATTCAATACATAACAACTGCCGCAATAGTTTCCGACCAATCAATGTCTTAAACTTGGTTCATAAGGTCTTTTAAGAAAGGATCAACAAAGCTTTTTCAGAAAACAAACTATGTACTATATTCAATTTTTTTTAAAACCACTAACTATTTTCAAATTTTTAATGTGGATATTTTTTTAATGAAAATAACTTTGATTTATTCGCTAAATTAGCTATTTTATATTATTTGCAGTAAGAATATTTTTTTTCTTGAAAAAATATTTGCTAATCTTGAAAAAAAATTACCTTTGTTACCTAACCTTTACCACCTTGCAAAAATCAATTAGATTTCCTCCCTCAAAATTAGTTTATTGGAAAATGAGGGGAAAAAATTCAATGCAAAAGTTTGTTAACAGAAAAATATAAAAACCCTCAAATTAAAAAAGAAAGTTTATCAAAATTGAATCTTGAACAGCATTTGTGACTTAAATATTCTTTTTGAAAGGAATGAATTAATAGAACTTTTTGTTATATTGCAAACAGCATTTGTGAATTGCTTTCTTTTTGAAAGAAATGAATTAATAGAACTTTTTGTTATATTGCAAACAGCATTTGTGAATTAAATATGAATTGCTTTCTTTTTGAAAGGAATGAATTAATAGAACTTTTTGTTATATTGCAAAAAGTTAAAAAAAAAAAAAAGTTTCGCATTGTTGCCTTCAATTAATAATGCTAAATTTATTATTTCATCTTTATCACGTAAATCATATCTTATATTGTTATTGAGTTTGGAAGCATTAATTTCTAACATGTACAAACTTACCCGTGGAAAATCTGTATATTCCTATTAGAACAACTATAGCTATGGCAGAGAGTTTAGCAACTGTAAAAAAATTATTCATTCTTGTAGCCAGCTTCACACTGTAACAGTTGATGAACGTGATGAAAACTGTAAAAAAAATTCGTAAATCAATACCAATTCATAAACAATATTCTTATAATTCCTAATATCAGATTTCTAGAAAAAATGAAGGATTGCTTCATTTTTATACATACTTTTTTTTATAAACATTCTTATGTTTTTAAAAGTGTTAAGCTATTAAAAATTAGACACAAAGATATTCAAGTTCGACTTTTTTCATTCTTTGCCAAATACGATTCATTACAAAATTATGAAGAAATTTTTTTTTTTTAATTATTTCTGCGCATGCGCACTATAAAATATCTACTTTAATTACTTATCTTATATATTACACAGATTTCAACTATTTTTTTTCTAATTTTAAAGCAAAAATTTTGTTATTATTTTGTTATTAATTACTTACATATTGCACCGTTTTCAACAAATTTTTTTTTTTAAACTTTTAAACCAAAAATTTTGTTACCAATTTTAAATTTCTCTAAAAATTTGTTTCATTCTGTTGAATATTTTTAAAAGTAGAGCTAAAAATAATTAAATAAAAGGGGGAAAAAAACGTAGGACAAAAAAAAAATTAGTTTTTCATAAAAATTTTCATATCTCCATAAATATTTAAGCTAGCCTTACGAAATTTCACGCAATTATTGCATATAATAACCAAAATAATTGTTGCAAATGAAAAAATATTTTGCTACATTTTGTGGCGTAATGTGCTCAAAAACACTATTTTTTGTTTTTAATTTATTGTCGATCTCTCAAACCCCCAAAAGCTTTAAATCGCAAGCGTTACCAAGCGTGTTATTTTTTTCTTCGAAACCACGTGGCTATGCAAAAACATATTTACATGAGTGTTGCCGAAAGGCGGAACACATGAAAGCCCTGATAGCCATATCTTTCAAAAAGGGGAATAAGTTCTGTAGAACGATGTTTTCATTTATTGAATATTGACAGAAATCTTCTTCATCATTCATCCAGCCAATAAAAGAGATAAAATAAACACCTCCAATCGATAACGTTCAAGTCGAGATAAAAGAACAACACTAACATATATCGTTTAACGCTTAACAGAATTATCTTTTTTACAAATCTGATAAGTTACTTTTGTTTTCGTTCTTAACCCAAACGATAACAACATTTTTTTTTTCTTCTCTTCATTTGGAGGGTTGCAACATTCCTACAATTATTTTCAGTCTGAGATGGGATTGAAAAACGATGCGTGATTATCAGACGGCTGATGTGATTACTGATCTACCTTAGCTACTTCAAAATCAATCTGTACTAATGACACAGTGAACAAATGCAATAATAAAGATCCTTTTTTTTTGGACAGACTGTCCTAGCAGCAAAATAACTTGGGTCTTTATTGGGCCAGTTTTCATGAATCTTGGCTCAATAAAAGTTCAAAAGGCCGTTATTTTTCTCATATTGGCCCTTTATAGAATTATCCGATATTCACCCTATAAATCCACTTTACAACCAATATCGCTCCTACATAGAATTGCAAAATTCACCCAATATTTTATATCCAATGTTCTTATAGGATGCACGTTCTTATAAGACCCATTTTGAGTCCAACTGGGGCCAAGGTAAAATTGTTTCTAGGGTGGTTGGAGGAAGATTGCTACCGAATGGGAACTTCAATTTAGTTACATAAAGGAGTCCAATTTCTGATTTATTATTCATAAATATTGAACTATGTTACCTCTCACACAAAATTTGTACAGCCCACGAGCAAATTCAAAGGGAACCACTTTTCGTCTTTCAAGTTTGGTCTTTGTCACATGGGATACTAACAACATTTGGGTGAACTATTCGTAATTTTTGAGAAAGTAATTTTACGAAAAGCGTTCTGTAAGTCGAAATTTTTAACCACGACTTCCCTTTCCAGGACCATAAATGCAACTCATGGCTAGACCGGCTATACAGTTTCCCTGTTTTACACAATGAATGGCACAAAAAACCGGCATCACGATGTAAATGACGAACAAACAAGTTCAGATCGATGGGCACGAGCTTGTCTGGGAAATATAGGTAGTCGGTGAGCAATGCTGACCATAATTACGCCATCATATTCGGCGGCCACGAAATTGTTGCAGCCTTAACCTTCAATGAACACCCTGGACCTAAACGGGTTGTTCTGGGAATGCTTTACTTTAATATTATGAAATCGAACGATGCTAACATACATTCAGTCTGCCGCAAAGAAGGAAAAAGAGGAAAGGTGCTTCGATTTAGGTAGTTAACCCAAAAAATGTAAACCCTCGAACATATGGATCTAAAAATATGATCTTGTGGCCTATATATCTCTCTACAAGAAACTGTCTAAAGAGGTGGATTGTTAGGACTGGTTAACGTAGCTGAAGCGTCAACCCTGATCGGTCATGCTGCCCGGAACTAAGCTGGTATTCTGAGTTTAAAATCGGCAGTCGATTTGAGCGTTTGGAGGCAGCACTTATTGGCGTTGTACCTAAAATACTACAATAGTTTAGTTTTTGTAGCTCAATTCTAGTTTTAGGCTTTAGTCAGACTTTTGCAGTCTGAGTAATCGATTCAACTGAGTCATGACGGCTCAGGAGATAGAGCATTCGCCTTCCAATGAGGTGAACCGGGTTCAAATCTCAGCCATAGCTGGTCGATACGAATACCGCATCCGGTTTGCACTGACCACAGTGTTGACGTAAAATATCCTCAATGGTAGACAAATTATAGGTTAGAATCCCCTTGCTGTCACACTAACTGTCGGAGGTTTTAGTGATTTTCCTCTCCATGTAATGCTAATGCGGGTTAGTTCCATCAAAGAAGTCCTCTACGAAAGCAAATTTCTCCCAATACTTGATCCAGGAGTTCACTTGTCTTCTGGATTTTGTTCAAAATGACAAGGTTACGGAGTTGAGTAGCCGTAAACCCCCCAAAAAAATTATCGGCTGTTCAACGACGTTTATAAAATAAAATCGATGGCGACTGGTTATAGGAATAGGAGTGCGTAGAATGTTTTATTGATGAACTACCTGAGAAATCCATTCCTCGTACTCGGTAAAATAAATTGCTCATGAGTAATGACGATATGGACAATACAGATTGCGAAAAATAAGTAATTGTGGTATTACTATTTTGTAAATATTTTTGCAAACAAAGAAAAACCTCACAATAAATATCTCTTTAAAGCCATGCTTTGAATTTTCGAGCTGATTTAAAACTTAAATTGAATTGACAAATCTTTGAAATTTTTTGTTAAACAATACAAATTCTTGATAGTCGGAAGTTCATCACAATCATAATTGTAATTTTCGAAATTAGTTATTAATGGTTATTTTTATAGTTTTTTTTTCTAATGCCCACCAGGAGAATGACCTAAGTCATACAGGCAGCTGAAGGGCAGATTTGTTGGCCACTCTTTCAGGGGCACCCTACTAGGTGGGCCAACGTTGCTCCCACTGTACAGAGAAGGAAAGAACATCCATGCCTTTCCCGGGATTCGAACCCAGAGCCTTTCTGATGCAAAGGCAGTTCCCTTATCCCTACACAGGCCGGTCGGCTTTATTTTTATAGTTAATGACCTAATATTACTGTAAAACAAAATCTTGTTTTTTTTAATGAAATAATAATAACAAATTATCCGATGATTACGATGAATTGTCAGTAATTTATTGATCTTCCTGGTGACTTTACATACAATAAAAAGGGAATTAAGACATTCAAGTCCCTGGGAGAAAAATGTATTATTCAATCCGTGTTTGCCAAGTTTTATAGTTCTTCTGATGAATTTCACGCACTAGCATATGTGTCAAAGGATTTTCTGTTTCCTAAGAAAATTATGATAAATCATAAAATTTGTTGCAAGATAGTTTCGGAAACAAGACCATATATTTTATTTTATGACCGCCGTTGAACAGTCGACCCAATTTTTGGGTTTACGACTACAAATGTTCAACGCCGTAGCCTTGTAATTTTGAACCAATCCAGAAGACAAGGAAACTCCTGGATCGGTACCCCCAGAGGTATTGATTTGTTAACAAGACCATATAGTGGAAAACGACCATTTGAGTAAATTATTTAACTTTCACAAAAAATTCAAATGCCACTATCAGTTTAAGAAATTAATATGGCAAACGCGGAAACATAAATTCGTTGTTTTGAAAGTCTGGATTTAATGGAAGGAAGATAGTCGAGCCCGTTATAAACCATTTTGTTAAAATTAATACCGTCAGAATTTGTTTCAAAGTTTAATAGAGTTAATAAAATGAGTTAATAAAATGATAATCAATTTTATTTAATATCCTTTTAAAATTACATAATTCAGAAATTCGAGATAAAATATCAAACCAAAAGTACTTTTTCGTATCCCCCAGGCTGGCTCGGAAATGGCAATTTATGAAATGGCGCAGCGAAATAATGCTCATGAATTTTTAACTGCACTTAAATCAGATGACTATTGAATATTTTGCTTTGATCAAAACCACAAGATCAATGAATGCCATATAGGGCCGGGATAACCTGGTTGGTAGTGCACTGGGTCCATGTCCAAGAGTTCATGGGTTCGATCCCAGGCCGGCCGAAGACTCCCGGTGTCCCCTGGTGCACATTAAATCTGTTGAGTCACAAAGACCTCCATGTTCCCATCACAAATCAATACCCCTGGGGAAACAGATCCAGGAGTTTCCTTGTCTTCTGGATTGGGTTCAAAATTACAAGGCTACGGAGTTGAACAACAGTAGTCGTAGACCCGAAATTGGGTCGGCTGTTCAACGACGAATGTAAAATAAAATGAATGTCATATATAATTCGGATCAAAAGACAGATATTTTGAAAAATCAAGGCAAGTGCTTCACGATTGATTCTGAGGAAAAGTGGCTTGACAACTTTTCTTTTTCTATTTACTAACGCTAAAATAGAATTTCAAAAAAACTAATAAAATAAAATTTATTCATAATTTTTTTTCTTTGCAATATTTAGCTTCCCATATAAAGATGCCAAATACATATTAAAAAAAATCTTAATTTCGAATTTTTCGTCGCTTTTGTTGATTTTTC